CCACCTGGAAGCCCTAATTCTGCAACTGAATCCCTGGAGGGTGCTTCATCCCTTCAGCAAGCATCATGGCTCTCACAGCCACACAGGGCTACTGGAATCAGCAGTTTAAGAAAAGGTAAGATCCAGCCAAGAGTTCCGTGTTAAAAAATGAGAATAACAAGCAACGGAAAATTTAAGTAGTGCTACAGAAGCCTGAACAGTGACATCTAATTCAGACTGAAATAGCTATTCCTGGAAAGTGGCAGGAGTCCTACTGTGAAAGTCACTTCAAACTAAGCAGTGCTCATACCTGGCACAGGCAGAAGAAGGAAGGTTACATTAGTGTTTTTCTTTCTCTGGGTCTCCCCAGAACAGGCAGACCATCCTAAAACAGTAAAATTCTCTGCACTTTCCAGCTGATTAACCCCCAGGGTCACCCAAGTCACACACTCACTTGGCAAAGCCATTTGCTAGAGACAGGTAGCCAGCATGGCTAGGGGAATGGGGCAGAGAGCTTGAGCTAGGACCACCAACTCCCCACTCCGACCTCACAGCTCTTGGGGGATGTTGCACCAGGATCCCAGCCAGCCCCATCCCTCTGCACCTTCTCCCAGCAGCTACCAGACCCCAGGAGATTCCAACAGCGCTTTTGGGAGACACAAGCAGCTGAGCCCACTACCCACCCACCGCCCTAAAAGACACTTCAGCTGCACCACGATCTTTCACACCCTGACCACGCTCTTTACCGTGGCTTAACCTGGATTGCGTTTCTATAAATCACAACTCAACTCTACGCCTTGACACTTTGCCCCTATGTATGAAGAATCCCTAATGATACCACACTTGCAGAGATTTGTTTTGTTTTGCATTGTTGGCTTTGGTTTGGTTTTTGGGGGTTTTGTTTTAATTGTTGAGTTCTTGACCTTTTCCAAGGTGTTTTTTCAATGACTTTTCACAGGCTTGTATTGCCTGGTCTTGTACAGTCCTTCAAATAATTACAATGATAGGAGATATCTAAACTCTTAAGCTAAAACCAAGAAAATTCTGAAGGAATACACTGGAAAATAAAATCTGTCCTTGAGGCCAAGGGGATATTTGCCAAAGCATTTCTCATCCCCTCTTCCAGCCTGTTTTCTGCTGTTAAGCTTTACCAGGAAAGCAACTTCTCCTGCACGTTTGTGAAGTGCCCGCTAACCATGCCATGTAGCTGTGCAATCCTGAAGTCATCCAAATTCCTTGCCCGCAAGATTTCTGGAGCAGAGAAATACAGGCATATAAATACGATTATTTATCATGCAACACGGCAGTAAACAGTGGAACACCTTCCATAGGTCACAGCTCCATCTACTGACTATTTCACAAAATAACAGTGTGGAAACCTTCGGGGAAAACTGCTCAAAGCGAGCCCAGTCTCCCCAGACTGGGCTTTGGACACACGGCTCTTGGCAAGCATTTAGAAAAAATCCCAGCACAGCAGCTCTGCCCAGAAGGGAGAAGTAAATCTCCCTTTTCTGCAAAGAAACCTCTTTGCACAGCAACAGGTCTGGAATCATGCTTGAACCTACAACTGTGGGTCCTCAAATTGTGGTATTTTAGTGTTTCTGGAATGACTACTACAGTGATTCTAACAGAAGAGTTATTTAAATCAAGACAACACGTGCTGGGAGCTAAGCACTTTGGCAAAGTTAGGGGTCCAAGCATAAAAGGGAAAACATTGTGTTTGTTAGATCCGCTAATATCTGAAGTGTGGCAGCAGCTGAGCACCATGTGATAGGAAAAAAAATGTCATTTTACAGAGAAACTGAGACTAGACCACTGTCACATGTGAAATCTGAGGAAGATCAGGGAAGTGGATATGGATCACTCAAGCCACATCTCCCACTCTAACCCCTCAGCCCTTGTTACGTGCACAGAGTATCTCCCTGAACCATAAAGGAGACTATCCCTCCCATTCACACAGAAGAGAAAAGAATAAAGAAAAACACTGCAATGATTTATCTGCCCAGAGGGAAACAGTCTTCTCTAAAGCTCAGAGGAGACCTTGCCCTTGCAAGCCTCTTGTTTGCTGATGAGGGCTCCAGATGAGTGCTGTTCTGCTTACTGTGTTTCATTGCAAGAGACAGAACTGAATCAGAGGCTTTTTAATAACTTAAATACATAAACTAATCTGTCCCAAATAGCAACAAACTTCAACCAGAAGAATGCCCACAAAAAAACTGGACACCACAGAGCTGTCACAAGACTAACAGACTTGAGAACAACTCTCTTTTTGGGCCAGTAGAAAAGAAACACATAATACTATCCTTATTTTACAGTCAAAGGGAAGAATTTGAGAATCAGTTCAGGCTTTAAGCCACCAGTGTGATGCAGGAGATTTAATACCCAAGCTCCCATCACCACACCCTATGTATACACCGTCTTCCAGTAAAACTCCACAGCTGAAACCAGTGTGTTCTCCCCAGATAGGTCCCAGGCTCTTCTGTGATCCAAACCCTCCTGTGCCTCAAACCCTCCTGTGCCTCCACATCCGAAAAAGGATTACACCACACTAGATCACATTTTCAAGCCCTCCCAGCTCTACCACCTGCAGCAAACTACTGGTGCAGGTAGCACCCTAGGCCATGCCAGTTCCCATTCACATTTCTTCTCTTTTTAGAGGCATTGAGAGAATGGGTGTCATTTGGCCCCATCTCCCTGTTCGAAACCAACAATCACTGCTCTCAGCCTAAACAAGACCATCTCCACAGCCCTAAAACTGGAACTCTAACCCTTATTAGGACCAAAGGAATATGGATCAGTTCCCCCAGCTCAAGAAGGGGAGAAAATAAAGGTTCACAGCCTTGCCTTCCCTCCTCTTGCCTCCTCTTTCCCACACACTCTCCTTGTTTTCCCTGCACACGCAGCATCTCCGTACATTCCAAACAAAAAAACAACAAAAAGGATAAATCACCTTATTTCATTCTGGCACAAGGAAATATAACTTCAAACTTGCTGCCCAATGGGATCTTCCAATTTAAAACTTGGATTGAAGAGACACCAGCAGCACATTTTCAGAGAAAGCCATGCTGGATGAATTAGAGCCTTATCCACAGGTTTAAGCAATGAACTAGCTCACACACAGATTTTATTGCACATCTCTTTGCCCTTGGAGTAGTAGACAAAACGCAGTCAAGAGAAAACCAATTCCTGACCCTATCTGAAGGCACATTTGTGCAAGAAGGAGAATGGGATCACTGGAAAAGTCACGTGGTTAAAGACTGATGACTTGTAGAAGACTCCAGGCTTTGCTTACACATCATTTTCTGTATTTTCTTCTGTCCATTTTATTACTAGAGACAGTTGCATGAGAACAGGATCTTTGTTGCTTCGGAAAGCATCTGCTCCCACTGCTTATCCTCCTCCTGAAGTCATAATCTTACGTGACATCAAAATAATTTCCAGAGCCACCAATTACAGTGTCACAGAGGATTATGACTTCAGGTGTAGAATCTGCAGCAGGAGCAGATGCTCTCTGCAGAAAAAAAAAACAAAACAAAACCAAAACCACACTTCAAAAAAAATCCTGTTTTCATACAAACGTCCCTATTAATAAAATACAAAAGAAGAAAAATAGTGTGATAGACAGAACTGTTTCTAAATATAAAATAGTTTTTCACATTTCCATGAGGCATCAGCTGCTCTTTGGGAAGTTCCCAGGATTTAAATTATTAAGAGGTACAGCATGTAGTGAGAAACTGTCCACAACAGAGAAAGAGGGAGAAAATACTGCAGAACAGCATATTTCTGTTCAGCAAGTGGACATTAAAATTTTGGCCAGTGCCACAATAGCATCTCAGAGGGGAGGGCAAGATAAAAAACAGGAATTGCGGATCTTTGCTTCTTTCTAAGGATCCTCAAAGCACAACTGAAATCAACTAAGAAATGTGTTTACAGATATGAAGCCCTGTGAAAAACAAACTCAAAGAATCCTTGTCACATCACACAGAATTTACTTAGATGTTTCCAACAATCACTGTTCCAGAAGAACAGAGAGCCTTTTAGAGGCACTAACAAACAATCTTGTGTGAAGTTTGGTAGGTAGCTAATATAGTCATAGGCTCTTCTGGATTTGATCCGCGGAAACAAGCCAAGTGTAATAAGTCAGTTTGAAGCTGGAGAAAGGCTGGGGGGGAGGAGCACCCTTTAGGATGCAGTAATAATGCCGTGTGATTTGAAATTTTTATTAGAGCTTAACAGGGCAAAGCAACAGTAGGTGACAAAGAAAACAGACTGAAGGCGGAGAAAAAGCCTTATAGAAAAAAAAAATAAAATAATGGAAAGTCTGTTGCATGGGAAATATTTTGTAAGATGACTGCCACTATTAGAAGATTTCAAAATGCCAAGCGTAATTAAAAGCTCTCTTTTCAAATGCAGTTCACGGCTCCACACAAACGTTTCCCACCACGTGAGCCTCAGAACACTGCAAGGGGCCAAGCAAAATGCATTTATGAACTGCCAAACGTGCAAAGGCAGTTTGTACCAATTCTCCCCCCACACGCATCCCCCGAAGAAAAACCCTTCACAACAACCCTTTAAAGGCTTTGAATTGGGCTGCCAGGGGATTATCGGTAAGTGACATTTACAAGTGATTAGAGGACAGAGAATTATCTTAGTCACTTGTGGGAAAGAAGGAAAGCTTCAAGGTCAAATCTCTCAGTACTTAAAATGTCGGCAGATGTTTTGTTTACACAAAAAGTGTCATTTGATTTATGATGGAGCTTTACATCCAGAACTTCAACCCAGCCAACGGAACTGCAGAGAACATGGGTGGGAATGGAATCAAAAATTCATATACTACCTTCAAATATTTCACTGATTCACTCATTAAAATAAGAGGCTAGTTCATGTGCCAAGCGGTTACACAGTACCTATTAGCTTCTTGGAACAAGTGCTCCAAGCCATATAAACCTTGGCAAGCAAGGAAATGGAGATAAATCTCCAACAGCTCGAGAAATCCCACATCAACCTCTTTCCGCACTCACCTCCGGACAATGGATTGCTGGAGATTTTTGCAAACGGTAAGAGATTCTCCCATAAACATGTGGCACATGATGACCTCAAGGCAGTTGGCCATGAATGACATCACTGCGTCAGACTGCAGAGTCCCACTCCGGGAGACGATGCAAAGCCGTTGGAGAGAGGAGCAATGACTCAGTGCCTGGAAGAACTGGGCGCCCGCGCAGAAGTACGGCTGTTCCAGCCTGCAAGAATAAACAAAAACAAGTCAATGGGTAATTCATGCTTGGGCCGCTTTCAGGCAAAAGGGAAGACAGCATATTCATGGGGGGCTGGCAGATGGAGCAACTGGTGTCCCCCACTGCCTGTTTCACTTAGACATGCAATAATCTTCTACTTGCTTGTGCCAGCGGTATGGCCTAACAAACCCAACATTGCAAGCTCAGACCTCTTGCTTGCTAGTTACTCTTGAACAATGTGTGCTACAGGACAAGGACACAAATAGGCAGAAGGCCCTAAATAGCAGAATTCTGGCATCCACAGGGAGTAAGCCTGGTTTTGCAAGTTTTCCACAAAACATGTGGAGTAAGATGGGCCTTTTGTTTGACCAGCAGATCCATTCTGGTCTTAAAACAAGCACAGCCTGGCTTTTGGTACCTGACATCCACCGAGCAGCTGATGTGCATTTAGGGACTTACTGCTCCAGTGCACCACTCATCAAACTGGTTATCTTCAGTTTACTGCCTAGAGAGAAGCAGGCATGAAAAATTCAAAATGATGCAGAACTCGGGCCTCTGAGCCAACAGAGTGACCACAGCCAGCCCTCCCCAGTCAGAGGATGGCAAAGGATCAAAGCTACTGCTCTCCCACAGGAAGAATAACCATCATCAATCCAACCTTTATGTTAAATGCTTGGCCCAGAGAAGAGAGACAGGATCCTCTGTCGTGGTTATCCACAATCTTATGTGACAGCCCAGAGCAGGACAACATGACACGGTGAGGCCATACCTGCTCAACAAGGGGTCTGTGTTTTAACTAGTAGCATAATGGATGACACCTTCACAGAGACCAGTCTGCAAGAAGCAGGAGAGTACATGTGCATGGTGCAGATTTACTACGGGGCCTCAGAGGACTTGGGAATCCCAGTCATTGGGTCAGCAAGGCCAAGAGCTCCAAGGTTAATCCATTAGGTGATAACAAACTGACAGTCCCAATCTGATCTGGATAATCTCTGCATAGGCTTTTGTAGTACATGGGGGTTTCTCAGCAATTTAATCCTGTTAATTGATAAATTCTGGTTTTGAGTCTCAGCCTATGATTGCTGTTCACGTAGCACTGCCCGAAGAGATCCTCACAGCCCACAAGCTATTTGGGTAATAGCTTAAGACTAACGTTAAAGACATGGGAAGCCTCTTCAGTTTTTCAACAGCATTATTGGTCCACTGTCAATTTAGGACAAAAAGCACAGAAGTCTCCTGCAACCTCAGCCAGTTTCTCTGTGACACGATAGCCACACTTGCAATACTGCCTTTCACTCGCTAGATGACAATGTTGCTTTGGAATATCCCCTTAGACTAGTTTCTCAGCCTGGAAAAAGGGGAGGTAAAAAAGGGTAGAAGCAGCAGAGCATTAGTCAAATGAAAAGGAAACTACACTATCAGGAGGAAATGCTAAACATTAAAATCCTCTTAAACCTATATAAAACCTCAGACTACTCGGGAAAGAACAATGGTAGCTTACATTGAAACTCCTGGCTGTTAGACGACAACACCCTTGTTCGTCCTTTTATTCAAGGCTCTATGCTGCCTCCCATCTTTATTGCTCTTGGCCTCCATTTCAAACTCTCTGGAAACTACAGGGCCTAGACCGAGTTGAAGCAACATTGCACACCCAAACCTCCTTCCCCAGATCTTAGTTCTTCCACGGCTATTTAGCCTCCTGAAGGTTAAAGATACATTCACATGAGCCAAGCCATTAAGCAACTGAATTTCCAACAGCTGTCATGCCTTGGATGAGAGACCAACACACCCCTTGTCAGTTATAATGGAGAGTGGTAGAAAATTAAAACCCTCCTGTGGTGTTTTAGCCACCCTGGCTTCCTTCACTATTGCAATGGATCAGGAACATGAATACAAACAGCAGTCTCAGCTGATAAGCAATAATTTTAGCAGCACTAACTGCCTTTATGATCACAGGAGTGACCTTGCTGTTACTACTGTTCGGCATTGTAGACCGATTTTGTGAACAGAGGATGCCAATGGGACTGACAGGTCTAGTAGTTTCACCAACAGAAGCTGATCTAGGGAGGGAAAAAAAAAAAAAAAGGAAAATAAAGCATCTTTCTCAAGTAATAACATTTATGTTCATATAGACTGGTGCAAGGAAACAGTTACAGTTTGTGCCCTTTGCTTTCATAAGCACATTTTGGCTACGGTGAAGCAACTTTATGCACCCTTTAGGATCAGATCCTAAAGGATCTGAATATCTAAAAAGGATCTAAGAAGATCTGAAGGATCCTATCAAGAAAGGAACATCACAGGACAAACTCTAAATTTGGAATGCTTTCAATATACTATCAAGAAAAGAAACCAAAAAGTAGGGCAAGATTTTAATACAAACCAAAGGCAGAAAAATATCTAACTGGAAACCTGAGGAGAACTCTGTATTATCAAGTCATCTAGAACTCTACATTATCTCTTCCTTCCTGAAAATTTAAGACAAGTACGTGCACACAAAGCCAAAAAGTCAGCAAAGGCATGTAGTAGTTAACCTAGCCCTGACAGGCTGCTAGCTCCCAAATATGCAGCATCCACTCTTCCTTATCTAAAAGGAAGGCAGTTGCAGCATAGAGACTTTTTGCTCTTAAAAACGGGTTAAAGGGCATATCCTGAGCCCTCAAGGACAGAATGTGATGCCTCCCTGTTCTCCACAAGTCAGGAAGGAAAATACCAAGTGTTCAAGCCATTGCAGCAACTTTTGACCAGAACAGAAACACTTGCAGATTTACACTAGCCAAAACAAACAGTGCGCTACATTTCTGGAGATCCACAAACAAAATGGAGATGTTCAACAGCAGCCCCTCACCTGAGATCTCTCAAACACTTGCAGTGTTTCAGCATGTCCATGAGAGCAGACATATAGGCCACTTTCCCCATCATGCCCAGGTTGGCCAACGAAAGAGTCCGCAAATGCTGGCACTCCAATCCAATGTTAATAAGCCCAGAGCCAGTAATAATATTTGGCAGTTGTGCTAAGGTGAGGCTCTGCAAATAAGTCAACTGGCTAATGGCAGCCACCTCTGAATCCCCCACGCTTTGTGCCCGGACACAAGGAGGCAACGAATTCCGAATTGCTGGCTCGTTGCGCGGCATGGCAGAGGAAAAACTGGACCCAATTATTTCCAAGGTTTCCAAAAATCGGAGGCTTCTCATCAGAGCCCAGAACACCGAAGAGTCTATCTTCTGATTTACCAGGTCTGATAAGTTCCTTGGATATGTCTGTATCCCAATCCGAACTTTCCTTCCAAACGTTTGGGGCACCAAATTAGATGCCGAGGGAGGCTTTTCCACATTTGCAGCAACATCTGTGATGGAGCACACCGGTAGCGCTAATGAGAGCAGGTGCTTTAACCTGGACAGAAGCTGGCACAAGTGATTCCCTATGCTTTCTGAGCTGTGATGGTGAGCTGCAGAGAGGTTGAGGTGTCTCAGGTTGCAGCAAGACACGACCAGGCTTTCCAGAATGCTACTGTCAATGTCATCTTCTGCTTTTCGAAACAAGGACTCCGGAGCCAGACAGTGAACGCAGCCACTGAGATTCAGACTGGTCAAGCTTTTAAGATCCTTCCCACCATTAATAACCCTCTGGATCAGGTGACCACCAGATAAGGTGCATCGGCTAAAGCTGAAGTAGAAAGGGTTGTTGAACTTCAAGTGTTGCAGGAGCCCAGAGCCGTTAATCCAAGCTTTGGGCAATTGTAAAGCATCCAGACGTACATTTCGAGCCATAGAGTCCAGGAGGTTTTTAGTGGCTCCTGTCTCTGCAAAGCTACCAGGGGCAGAAATAAGGAAAGCGTGAAGGTTCTCAGGTGTCCGATCGCTCAGCACTGCCAAGTACAGCCTCACCACCTCCTGATTAACATAGCCAGGAGCCAGCCTGGCATAGAAGACGCGGAGATTCTGGTAGTGGGGCACATTGCTCTCACCTACCATTAGCTGCCCAGAGAGCATAAAACCTTCTCGCGAGCGATCAAGGATCTCAAAGTAAAGCAGCAGTTTCTCAAGGCTAGTGCAGCACGGAACGACACCATATGACGGCGTATAAAGGGTTTGCTTCAATTCCGAGACACGGCTAAGCGTGGCTTTACACTCGCTGCTTAGCTGACTGGCATCGAAACCCGGATTTACGTCTATCGCCAGGGAGCGCAGGTGCTGGAGTGTGGATAGCATCTTTGAGAGACGGAGGGAGGTGACGTGGCACCCAGACAGGTTCAGTTTTACCAGGTTCTTGCATCGTGTTACATGATCAATAGTGGAACTGGGCAGCCAATAGCACCCAGCCATGTTCAGCTGGTAAATCTCTTTTCCGATATCCCTCATGAGTTGCTTCACTTTGTCTTTGTTTACCTGTACTCAAACAAAATCAGACTCAATGAGATATATGGCAATGGTGTGTACTGACTCAGTTCCCCATCTGAAGATGGGGATGAGTGCTTAGCACATAGATTACATCATTTATCCAAATGTCTGAGGATGCCAGCACAGTCTAAGAATTATTATACTGCTGGTAGCTGGCTCAGTCTGCCATGCTTTAAGATTCCAACAGTCTTAAAGAGTCCTTTAGCTTCTTAGTCTGTGCGGTTCTGTGTCTTAGCCTGTTCAGCAACTGAGAGTGGAATAGAGGACCATCTCCATTTTCTAACAGCAAAGCTATTTCAGCAGAATGAGCTATCTATGGAAACTCAAACTGAAAGAAGAATGTTCCCATTCTCCTTCATCCAGTTTCCTCTTTTGGAAATGTGCAAGAGAGGCTTCCCCTTGCCTGCACTTGGTGATACAGTCCTCATAAAATGTATCACCCTCCATTCCCAAACTTTATTTTTGTTATAACATATATACAATTTCTGGCTTAGCTGACTGCATGGCCTGACAGCAATATGCACAAAACTTTTTTTGCACAACAACATGGAAAATGTATTTTGAGAAAATAACTTTACACAACCACTGCTACAAATGGAAAGTCACGTTTACTTTCATTTTAGCTTCAAGAAACACAGAGAATATAGTTTTCACTGACAGTATTTTGTATAACTAAGGGAGCACAGAGCTGTTCTAACAAAGCATTCTGGAAAACAAATGCTTTTATAAAACAGTTTATTGTTTATTTGATATCAGAGTTCAAGAGCACTTAATTTATGCAAACACACTGGAAAGTCCTACTTCTTGGCATTTTTTCAGAAGTCAGATTTGTCTTCATAGCTAACAGAAGCAAGCTACTCTCCCCACCTTATAGTCTTTCTGAAGTAAAACTGTATGGGTTAGGCTCTTGTCAAGGCAAAGTGTTGCAAGTTTCCTGCAGGTTCTCCTAACATTCAGGACAAGGTCTGTGCAAGGGACATAGCTGAGGATGTGCAAAAGGATCTCATCTGAGAACTCCATCAGGTTGATGCCATTACTTTCCTCCTCGCTCTCCCCACTTACGATCTCCTAGGGGAAAACAGAAAAAGAAAAAAAGAAAAGCTACTAGGTCAGAAACTTCAGCAAATCTTGCGAGAAAACAGACACCTCAAGTCTCATAAGGATTTATAAAGTCAAACCAGAAACACTTGAATCTTGAAGTACTTACATCCGCATGAAGAAATCAAAAGCTTTCCCTTAGAAGACAATATGGAGGTAGTGCAAAACTTCACACAAAGCCACAGTACCATCACTCGCTCTTTCACTGTTGGCTACTTTAGAATGCAGGGAAAAAACACTTAGATTTATTCCACTTTTGCCACTTACTTTGCAACTGAAAAAGTGACTGCCTCTGATTCTTTCTAAATATAACTCAGCAGTCTCTTTCTACATCTTTCCTCTAAGCGCCATGCATTTCAATAACCGTAAGAGTTATATAACCTCACATATAGAGAGATGTATACGCACAAACAAAACTGCAGTCCAGCATCAGATCACCCCTAGCTCTTCTGCAACATGCTTACACCTGAACCATACAAAACCACAGGACTGACAGCTGGGCTCCAAATGGGGACATGAGAACCCCTTTGTTTGTCCACCCCAAGCTCCCTTCCTTCAACACTGAGGTGACAAAAAGCACCCTGGCAATCGTAGCCCAAACCCACCAAGGACACCTTGGCAAGAAGGCAACAAGGTGCACACAGCCTTGCGCGGCACAGGGACATGCCATGGCCCCCAGGGCAACCCGCCGCGATGATGGCGATCTCGGGGGACGGCCGGGACTTTAGCACCATCTTTAATAAAGCTCAAATTGACATGAATACCATGGCACCCCCTAAAGGGACGGGGAACGCTGCCCCCACATCACAGCCTCTGTAAAGCCCCCACAGAGGCACCGCAGAGGAGGGCGATTCCGACGCCCGTGCCCAGCCCCGTTAGACGGCGGCA